AGATATTGGCAAAGAGGATGCAACAAATTATCAAAAAGATTATACATCATGAACAAGTAGAAGTTATCCCAGTAATACAAGGACGGTTCAATATAAGCAAATCAATAAATGTAATACACCACATAAACGGAAGCAAGGACAAAAATCACATGATCACCTCAAGTGACACAGAAAAAGCCTGTGACAAAATCCAGCATCCAGTCATGATAAAAACTCTGAAGAAAGTAGATACAGAAGAACCTTATCTCAATCTGATAAAAGCTATTTATGTAAAACCAATGGCCAACATCACATTAATTGAAGAGAAGCTTAAAGCTTTCCCTCCAAAATCAAGAACAAAGCAAGTATGTCCACTATTAGCACTACTGTTCCAAACGGTTCTCAAAATATTAGCCAAAAAAACTAGGCAAGAGAAAGAAATGAAAGGGTATGTATAGGCAAGGAAGAAGTCAAATTACCATTAGTTGCAGATGACACAATCTTCTACAGTCAAACCAAAATATTCCACCAAAAGACTCCTAGAATAACCATATTTAGTAGCATAGCAGGATATAAAGTCAACACACAAAAAACAATAGCATTCCTGTACATCAATAACAAACTCACTGAGAAAGAAATTAGGGAAAAAATATTTTTTACGCTAGCATAAAAAAAAAAAAAAGGATTTAGGAGCTAACCTAACCAAGGAAATGAAAGACCTTTACAATGCAAACTACAGTACTCTGAAGGAGATAGAAGGGTATATCAGAAAACGGATAGATATCCTCTGTTCCTGGATAGGCAGATGTGATACTCAAAATGGCCACACTTCCAAAATTGACATATAAATTTAACGCAACCTCAATGAAAATACCAAACAGCATTCCTCAGAGAACTAGAGAAAAAAAATCGTAACATTCATAGGGACCCAGAAAAGACACAGAATAGCAAAAGCAATTGTGAGTAACAAGAGGAATCAAAGAAGTAACAAGAGGAATCAAGGCAAGAGGAATCAAAATTCTGGATTAAGTTATACTACAAAGCTACAGTGATTAAAAACAGCATGGTATTGGCAAAAACAAAAAGAACCACCCCCCAAACCCAGATATGAGGATCAATGGAATAGAGGACGCAGAAACACCTCCAAGCACATTCAGCTACCTGTTCTTTGACAAAGGGGCCAAAAACTTACACTGGAGGAGAGATAGCCTCTTTAACAAATGGTGCTGGGAAAACTGGCTATCCAGAAGCAAAAGATCGAATCTAGACCAATATTTACCACCATGTACTAAACTAAAATAAAAATGAATCAAAGATATAAATATTAAAAAAGAATCTGCTGGGAGAGAAAATAGGTAAAACTTTTGAAGATATAGGCATAGGCAAGGAATTTCTGCACAAACTCCCACTGCACAACAGATAACACCAAAAATCAACAAATGGGATATGAAATTTAAAAGCTTCTGCAGAACAAAGGAAACAATCAACAAAATGAAGAGACAACCTATAGTATAGGAAAAAAATTTTGCCAGCTATTCCTCAGAGGACTAATATCTAGAATATATTAACCCCCTCCCAAAATAAAAGACCCAATGAAAAAATGGGCAAATGAAATGAATAGACACTTCTCAGCAGAAAAAATACAAATGGCCAATAAATACATCAAAAATGTTCAAATGGGAAGGGGAACAAGGGAAGGAGGAAAGGGAAAGGAAAAAAGAAAAGGGAAAAAAACAGAATAGAAGAAAAAAATGGAAACAAAGTTTTGTAAATAAGGAGGGAAAGAAGAGTTGAAGGCAAAGGAAAGGAATGAGGAAAAAAGAATCAAGATATATTATGAACACATACAAATTCCCTATGATGAATGTGATCATTATTTATATCACAGACATGTACCAATAAAATTAATTTAAAAATAATGCATAACATCTTTGGCCATTAGAAAAGTGCAAATTAAAACAACACCAAGACTCCATCTTACCCCAAAAAGAATACCTATCATCAAAAAATCAGATAACAACAAATGCTGGCAAGGCTGCAGGGGGAAAAAGGAATCTTTCTTCATTACTGCTAGGAATGTAAACTAGTATAACCACTATGGAAATCAGAATAGGATTCTTCAAGAAACTCAAAGAAATTCTACTCAACCCAGATGGGGTTGACACTCTACTAGGTATCTTCCTGAAAGAGTTAAAGACATCATATTACAGTGATACATACATACCCATATTTACAGCAACACAGTTCACAACAGCTAAATCTTTGAAGCATCCTGTATGTCCATCAGCAGATGAATGGATAAAGAAAATGTAATATTTATACCCAGTGGAGTACTACTGTGCCATAAAGAAGGATATACTTGAGTCATTTGTAGAAAAATGGATGCACCCTGAGACCGTAATATTAAAGTGAAATAAATCAGACACACAAGCTTAAATAGCATATGGTTTCTCTCACACGAGAAATCCAAAATACATACAATGAGCAAAATAAAAGAGAAACAATAGGAAAAAATAGAGGAAGGAGTGGCAATGTAGGGTAGGGAAAAAATGCAGCTGGAGAGAAGGGATAGGAAGGGGACATAAAAATAACTAAGATGTGTTATGTACAAGTACCAACTACTCACAATAATGTAATCATTATATTCCACAAACAAATACTAACTAAAAATCCTTTCAATAGTAAAGGCAGGATTTTTTTTGAGTAATCCTAAATACCTGAAATTGTATCTTTAAGAATAAACATGGTTGGTCAGGGATTTAGCTCAGTGGTTCCGCCGCTTGCCTCACAAGCACAAGGACCCGAGTTCGATCCCTGGTACCAAAAAAAAAACCCCCACACAAAACAAAACAAAAACAAAAACAAAACAAAAGAATAAACATGGTTTCTCAAAACACATCCCCGAGAAGACTGTTAGAAACCAAATACTAAATTACTTTTTAGCAACCTTTTAAGTCATCTTTTTTGAGATAGGATCTCACTAAGGCCTTCAACTTGCTCATAATCCTCCTGCCTCAGCCTCCCAAGTAATGGATTACAGGTGTATGTCACCATATGTCACCAAGTCTCTAATCTCTCAAATCCTTATTTTAATTTCCACACTATACTGGAAAAAGCACATCTATCTTTGAGGAACTTTTAGTTGTTTTAGGGTAGTCTAATCTGTCTTCATTTATTCATATATTCATCACTCAACAAACATTTACAGAGTACCTACTTCACACAGGCATGTACATGAAGGACACTGAGAAAGTAAGGAAACAGAACCAGAGTACATGAAATGTATCTAGTAATGCCAGGTACTTTTTTTTTTTTTTTCAGTACTAAGGATTGAACCCAAGGCCTTGTGCATGTCAGGCAAGTGCTCTTCTACTGGACTACATCCCTATCCAGGTCCGTTTTGATACAGGGTCTTGCTAAATTGCCCAGACTAGCCTCAGACTTGGATCCCCTTGCCTCAGCCTCCCAAGCAGCAGGCAAGCACTATCTTGCCTGATAGCAGGTACTTTAAATACATCTCACCCAATTTCTACTGACTGTCATCCCATTAGTTTCCAGTTTACTTCCATTCTATACCTCCTTGCTACTAAAGCAAACTGGGTATAACTGCACATTGGTTGTATGTAGTTGCATTCACTAGGTCCATCACAGTGCCTGACATATACCAAACAATCATTAAAGTTTGTTAAGTTAATTTGGAACTCAGGAAGACAGATGGAAAATGTATTTTCAATGCTAAATTCTCTGTCACTGCCTGTTTTCTTTTAGTATAAAATAAAAGCAACTTCTAGGTCAGGAATATTTAAGATTGATTAGAATAAACTTAAATAAGGATCCAGAATGAGAGGGGAAAATACTAAAAGCTGTCCACAGGACACTTCTGAATCATTTTCTGTGAGCCATCATGGCTGTTTATGATCATATTCTCTCATCAGAGGAAACAACCCCTCTCCTGCATGCTTATCTCACTGTCAGGACTGCTGGTAATCTTGAGGCTAAAGGAAAACAGGAAGACATTCCTCCCTACTGAAATGTTTACAGACCTTGTTTCAGAAAGTAAAGATGTTAGGAGGCTCCAAATATCATTTAGCTTAAAGCAAATTCATAGTGCTGAAAAACTAGCATTACTTGCACTATAAAGATTTTTTACTCCATTATTTTTCTAGCTTCTTTCCCATAATAGAAGCTTTAGTTACCTTCAATTTCTTCCTTTTAAATTATTTTAACAATGCTTACTTTCATCCCCTAATACAGAATTTGACAAAATCTTTTGGTTCTTGAAATGCTTCTGAGATCAGCCCCTTTCCTCTATTCCCATTCCATTACCAGGTTTACCTCATACCAGGAAATAGCCTTTTAACCCTGGGCTTCTTGTTGAGAATCTCATTTTACTCCAATCTGCCTTGTAGAATGGGCTGTAGAAGGGGCATGAACCCTTGGCAGAACAGATTAGAATCATTAGGTTCCCCTCCACCCTACATCTCTGCGTCCACCCCAAACCACTCTATTGTCAGTGAGCTCATTCACTACCATCAGGCAGCAGGGGTGAGGAAAGAATCAAGTCACAATACTAAAGTCCCATTCCCACTCCTATTCCCATTCCCATTCCCTTTTCAATCAGCCTCTTAATTTTTCTCCATTCTGTAACACATAAACTCTGCCACCATTGGGAGATGTGTTCACTGCCTCTGATACAAGCTAAACCTTAAATAATCACAAAAATCATTAAAAATTTTTCCTTAGATGAAATAAATCACAATCACCAAGTCAAACATTTTAATGTACACGTGCTTCTCAGTAAAGAATATATTCAGTGACAAAAAGATGCCACGCCTGCAATCCCAGCTATGCAGGAGGCTAAGGCAGGAAGATTCAAGGTTAGCCTGGACAACTTAGTGAGACCTTGTCTCAAATAAAAAGGGCTAAGGATATAGCTCAGTGGTAGAGAACCCTGGGTTCTGTTCCTGGTACCACAAAACCAAACCAAACCAAACCAAAATTTCAGTTTTAACTGTACCAACCTTATGTCTTCCGCGAAAGACATTTGCAGTAGCTCCTTGGCCTAAGATATCAGATAAAAGCCACAGATGGTTAGAAGTGCTCTGCATCTCGGCTTTGTCAGGCGTTCTCTTGTTTTACTATGGGAAAAGAAAAGATTTGTATGTATGATGTAAGGAAATGACAGAGTTAAGAAACAAATGTTAGCTATTTTTAGTCTCAAGATTACACAGTATTCATTGCTAAATTGAAGTTATAAACAATCCAATGTAAAAATGTAAGTTTCTAGCAAAATTTGAGAAAAAAACATTATGTGGGCTCTGGAAAAACTATTAATGATATCTTATGTATTCAGCTTAACTCAAAAAGGTTGAGAAAAGTATTTTCCTTCTAATTTTCTCTTTGTCAGGGAGAATGAGGCCCTTTTCTCTCTGCTTCCTGGCCACCATGACTTGAGCAGCTTTCCTATGCCCAAGCCCTTCCACCATGCTGTTTCTGCTTTGAAGCCAGACACCCAGGGACTGTACCCGTGAACCAAAATACACTTCTTCTTGAAGTTGTGAGTGTTGGGTACTGTGCCTTAGCAGCGAGAAAGTGGCTAAGTTTTGTTTATCAATGATAAATTATATTTTTAAATATTTAAAAATAAAGAAAAGTAATACAAGTTATAGAAAGACAGTAACATTTACTTTGTTTTCTTCAAGGGCAGGACAACACTAATGGAAACAACTGTTGTTACTACGTAACATTTCCACAAAGTAAAATTTCATCCACATAGAGCCGGACAATCATAAAAGACAGGTACCACAATTACTATTCCTGAAATGTTACTAACTCTTCTGAAATTTAAGGATAGTTTCTCTAACTTCCAAGTATTGTATGTAACTATACACATAATAAATATATATATGTATATATATTACCAAGTCTTAAAAAAATAAGCATCATGTCCAGCCTTGTCCTTTAATGCTGAAAAGCTATGAAATTATAAAGATATTAAAAATGTTTAAACTCCATGTTGGAATAAAAATGAATCATGCTAATACAACATAACCACTAGTTCTACTATGCTCCTTTACACCTGCAATAACAAGAGAATTGCTTCTCCGTCTTTTGGCTAAGATCAAGTGTTAAGTTAGAACAAGAAGCAGTACACAGGACTGGGTATTTTATGATGCATTAATGACTACCAAATTTCCAAGCAGAGTTAGGAACATAGTAAATAGTAAGGGGCCTAAATTTCAACAATCTCATGAATATTAGACAATAGTTATATAATTTTACTACCCATCTAATTAAGATAGGGAAATTTTTTTTTGGTACCAGGGATCAAACTTGGGACCTTGCGCTTGCGAGGCAGATGGCAGAACCATTGAGCTAAATCCCCGGCTCAAGACAGGGGATCTTACGTAGCTCAATTTATTGGAAATAAGCAACGGTTCCCTTTTCCCAAGTAATACATTTGTTAGTTACTGCATTCCAATCTGGAGATAATATAATTTACTCATATATCTAATAGAAAAACCTTCATTTATTAGTGTAATTTTGCTGTTTCAGTAGCTGTAAGTGGAAAATATTACCAAGTACTCAAATGAACCCAGTAGATAATATAATACACATTTATCAATGAAAATATCTATTCTGTCCATATCCTGATTTAAAAAAACAAAACATGGGTCCACAAGTGATGAGGATAAATGTCTTTTGAAACTATCTTCCAATGACCCCATCATACTCCCATGCTAAAACATGACTCAGCACACTCACCCAGTGCTTGCTATATATACATCTTTATATTTGGCAAAAGTACAGTATAGGCAGGCACTCAGCAAGTATATTACTAATGATTGTCTTAAGTCCACTTTCTTTTACCATCCAAAACGAAAGTTACCAAGGATGAAAACAGGTTTAGTAACATGGTTCCAGGATTTCTAAAGTCTACTACTATCTACTATGTCATTTATTTGAGACATACCGTATTTGAGCTTCCAGAGTGAAAAAGGTCGGTTTCTGCTTATAAATTTGACAGTTACGGTGGAGAATCTGTTTTGAGGGTAGCTACCAAGAATTCCTGCGAAATGGATTAGAAAATAAACCCACAAACCAGATCAACTGGGAGCAAGGAAAGGTTAGAAGTCAGCACGTTGTCTGTGTATATTTAGTACCTCTTCTGCTTCCGGTGAAGCAGTTCCTGAAACCTTAGTGAAAAGACTCTTTAATCCGCAAAAACAGTCCATTTAAAAACTACCAATCGCGTCTATGCACAGAAGGAGTAGTAAAAAGCGGCGGGTCTATCTGAACGAAAGCAGGTAGCCCTTCCTCCTGGGGCGGCCAGGGCCCAGACCGGTACCAGACCCCGACTCCTCTCCGTGCCCAGAGCTGCCGGACCCGGGGCCACAGGTCAAAGCGTCGGCCTCCAGGCGCGCAGAGAGAAGCAAACAGGGCTGGCGCGACTGGCACCAGGCTTCGGGCACCCCAAGCCCCTGGGGGGCGTTTTTGGTATAGCCAGGTCCAGGGGAGCTCGGCCTCTGGTTATGCGGGGATTCCCAGGTCGCCCGCTCATTCCCGTTCTGACTCAGCAGCCCAACTTTCCTCAGTAGGCGAGGGCACTTGACGCCGCAGACCCTGCTGCCCCGGCCCAGGAAGGTCCCTGCCCCTCACCCGCCCCCGCCCCACTTACCCAGCGGGGTCTCTGCCGCGCCACCGCTATCAGGCTCCCCCCGCCTTCTAGTGCCCGGGGCCACTTCCGGCTTCGAGAGCTGCGACCGAAGCCACGTGACCACGGTCGCGCGCGTGCGCATACTTGCCGGCCCGTGAGGCAGCCACCTTAGCGGCTATTGGACAGAGCTCCCTGGGCTGCTGAGGCGAGGGGCGGGGAGTGCGGGGGTCAGCTGGCAGCCCTGCCTGCACCAGTAACTCAGATTCCCTCAACTGCAGATCCAGCCCTGTCCCGAGCGCCCGCAGACGAAGCGCAGCGTGCGATGACAGTGGGGAGCTAAGGGTTACAATTAGATAATCACAGTTGGGCAGGATGCTGGACGCGTTGAGGGGCTATCTGAGGAAGTCTGGAAGAATATATTTGTATCCGTTTTAAAGACTGCTTTGCAGTGGAGCCAGATCATCTCAACAGTATTCAAGAAGTCAAATTCTTAGTATGTTCACATAATTACCTTTCAGATTATAGTTTGGAAAATAGCCATATTGGAGAACTTAAGACTAAAACCAGTACCAAAATCAGGTCCTGCTCAAGCAGCTGTAAGTCTTTCACCCAGTACAGCACAAGTCTTTTTTTATCCAAGGAGAGAGCTGAGACCCAGGAGCGGAGACATTTCAATGGAACAGACCTGACAGTTCAGTCCCAATTCTCTCTGCCCATTACTTTAGGCAAGTCTGTTTTATCAGATGCACAATGGAGATAACCGAAGCCCAGTCCAATGAATTCTTAGTAAGTTACTTTATTAGAAGTTTACATCACAATGTTTAAGTGAATTCATTCTAATAACACATTTATTCACTGCTTACAATTCCAACCAATTTGTTTTCTGATATTAAAAGACAAGACCCAAAGGCCTGTCAGTTTCCGGACAACTGTAAAACTCACAGCTCAAAGTTGTGGGAGGAAATGTGACATATTTATATTGAGATACAGTACATAGCCAGGCATGGCACACACCTGTAATCCTAGCACTTGAGACTGATAGGAGGCCTACAGAATTCAAGGCCAGCCTAGACCATATAGCACGACTTTGTCTCCACTCCCCTTCTCCTGCCCCCAGAAAGTGATAATGCACATTAAAATAACACGGAGTACTTTCTTCAAAGGTCAAGCCACTTGTGAACCAATTAAGGTAAGTATTAAGATTTAAATAAACTGTTAGGCACAGGACTAAAGTAGGCATCATAAAACCCTGGGGCTCCACAGCCAAGTCTCACAAATCTGTAAATTTTGGGCCTCGTTTATCTCACCTATAACAAGTGATATTTAACCTTGAGATGTTTGTTTGGGTGCTTGCTTCTGTTAACAACATCTCTTGACGGAAGAGTTTCCTGATGGTGCTTGGGGCAACTTCAAGGAATGAAGACCACAATTATACATTATATAATGTGGTTTAATTTCTATTTAAACACTGATTTCCACGTCCTGATTTCTCTTAGCTCTGAATACATTAATCTCCTGAAGGGCTTTGAAGAGCCAGGGGAAAAGGTCTTACTTTTCCATGTATAAAATTACTAGTAAAGTAATACAAGCTAACATCAAGGCCTTATGTGTCAGCTACTGTAATAAGCTTTCATGTTTAACACACTGAGTTCTTAATGAGTTATGAAGTAGCTACCATTGTTTTCTCCATTTTTAAGCTAGGGAAACTAAGGTTCTAGTAACAGTTACTGGCATAACTGGCATAATATTGGAACCTATTTAATTGGGGTCCTGAGCTTGTATTATATAAACTTTCAATTACTATGTCATTCATCTCATTAATGTACTTTGCAGAATTACTATTGTCATAGATGCAATTATCTCTCCCATAGTACAGGGAAACCTAGCAAAAAAGAAAAAAACAACACCCAGCTTTCACTTACCCATTTTTAGAAGCATTTTTATTGAAGTATAATAGATTCCACTGATTTATTTGTCTAGTTAACTGTCAGTTTAGTACCTTTATTCCATGATGTAAAGAAAATGTTTTCAAATCTCTTCTGGGATTAAAGAGATTTCATGTGCACAATTTAGAATACAATTGAGGGAATTTATAGGCCCATCCATGAAAACCAAAGGTAAACAAAACAAACCAATCCCCCATCCCACAATTTTTTTTTCATTTTTGGTGCTGGGGATATAATCCAGGGTCTTGAACATGCTAGATGTATGATCTGGCACTGAGCTACATCTCCAGCCCTCCTTTCTAAAAATTTTAAATGGGCTTTTAAAATAAACTTAAATGTCTGTAGTTATTTTTGGTTTTGTCCCTCTTCTCTTTTCCAATGTGACTGATACTATTATTTTTCCTCTTGCTTTCTTCAGTTGCCATGAATAAAAATGAGGGAATACTTTCAGTAATTAAATAATAGCTGACTATGGTATTTACAAACATCATAAACACACAAGTACATTCTGTTCTAAGTACACCTGAAAACAGAGGAAAAACATTGTTTTAATTTTAACAACAGATTCACATAGGACTTTTCTAGTGTATTTAAAAAAGACTTATTTAACAGAATTAAGTTGCATGTACCCTTTTAGGAGAATAATTAAGTGAAATAAGGCATCCACATTGTTTTTGCAAAATCTTAAATGAAAATCAGAGAGCATTTAAGAAGGGAAAACAAAGCTATTTATAATAATTCCAGAAAAGACTTGATAGATTTCACTAGGTAAAATTTATTTTTTAATAAAAAATATCGGCACCTGCTTTTAAATCAATGAATTTATGAACCCATTCTCTTTGTAGAATACACATTGGCATTGAAGTAGTTTAAGGAAATGTACTGGCTATCTACAAAAAAAAAATCAGTTTTGATTGTTGTATTTCCCCTATATTTTATGTGTCTGCACACATAAAAGAAAACTAAATTTTCAAACATTTTCTATTCAGCAATTTTTTTAAAAAAAGAAGTATTTTCCATTCTATGGTGTTTATTAAAGGATTTAAAGTTTGAAATAAAGAAAAAATTAGGTACTAGGATAATTCTGCAATTACCAACATTTTTATATAGAACAACTGCACTGGCATGCAGCAACTTCTCTTGTTGTTACATACTTGTATTTAAGGGAAATTATATCCATTTTACAGAAAAATCCCAATACGTATACTGCTGTAATCTTAAAACAATGTTAAAAGACCAGTGTGAATGGCACACAAAAAAATTATTTCTTTATAAATTATTAACTGGAATTCCTGATCATGACATAGGCACAGGGAAATCCAGTCCTTAGGGCTTTGCTCTCTGGAAGAACACCTGTGAATAAAGTATTCACACAATTAATACAAATGTCAGAAAACTAAACCTCTTCTACATGAAGAATGGCTCCAAGTTCTGAATGCTAGTCACTCTTTTGTAATGTATGATACTGAAAACATTTCACATAATTTATAAATTCATACATAATCCAAGGTAAGAACTTTGTCTTCTAAAGAATTTGATAAAGTCTAGATATAAATCTGTTGACATTACTCAATTGGGAAAGTAGTGAAAATATGGTATTATTATAATTCTGTGAGGTCCAAGTAGTACGAGGAAAACATGCTCTCAAAACCTTTACACTGATTTAAGCTACTTTCAAAATTAACACTGGGAAATTAAATTTTGAGCTAAAGACAGCAGTTTGAATTCTTACAGAATTTAATTTATTTGATAATTAAAGGTACTTCCAATTTAGTATTTGAGACTACCAAGGAATAAGCTATAGGTTGTGCTAGGCACTTATCCAGTGTTACACACTGCCATTCATTCAGTCAAGGATGTGAGCACTAGAAATAGTAAATGGCAGGCAGTTAATTCACGGAGGACAAAGACTAAATTTATCATTCATCGTATCCCTAGCATCCACTAGATTAGATATCCAGGGCCAGGGATTTAGCTCAGTGGTTCTGGCGCCTGCCTCACAAGCACAAGGTCCTGAGTTCGATCCCCGGTACCAGGAAAAAAAAAAAAAAAAAAGGAGACTGACTAGATTAGATATCTAATCGACAAATAATCTAAGTTGAGAAAAGAAGAATTACTATATAAGCAAAAGAAAGTCTTTCAAGGAGACCATGCTTAAGGTAAGAATACAAGAATGGGCAGAGTTCATAAAGGAAGGTTTCTAATAAGGTCGGTTTTTTTCGGGGGGGGGGGCGGCGGACCAGGGGTGGACCAGGGGCAGACCAGGGATCGAACTCAGGACCTTGCACTTGCAAGGCAGGTGGCAGAACCACTGAGCTAAATCCCCAGCCCAGGTAGGATTTTTTTTTTAACAGTAGCAGAGTTTTATTATAGGTAGGGAAAAAAACAGGCTCTGCAGAGCAAGTCTGGGCCAAGAAAAAGTAGGAAAAGAAGTATGCCCTATAGTGTTAAGAGTGGGTCACCAAGGAAGACAACACAGTGGCCAAGGCAGGGTTTTTAAGGAACAGTAATAGCAAAGACAGTACCTTCAAGAGAAATAAGAAAAGTAGTCTGAAATCAGAATACAGAACAAAAGTTAAATGCCAAACTAAGAAACATGAACTTGTTTTTAGTAAACAATGGGTTTAGGAAGAATATGAGGAAAGGCAATGAATTAGTAATAACATGTTTTTGAGTATAACCACCGGGTTAGAACAAATGGAGATCAGAGTGAGATAAGACTGAGGTAAGCCTACCCAGAGAGGGAGGAAAAATTCAGAAGATCTGAGATCAAAGAGAGAAATGGGCACAAAGTATGAACTTCACTTCTTCCAACTAGAAGAACAATACTAACACCGAGACAACGCTATGCCTAAGATGATGCCGTCAGTGCAGACAAGCTGGGCTAAGGAGGAAGACATTTTATAAATGCTGTGCAGATGAGTAAATACATGTGGAGCACAAGTCTACAATGAACCTAGATTTACTGTTACTGATCTAACAAAGATTTTTCTGAGTATTTTTATGGGCGAATAAGGGAGGGTAGATTTCCGAATGATAAAACTAGAAAAATAACTGACAGGAACATGTTAGAATCACAATTAAGCTAGGGATTTAGCTCAATGGCGTTGTGCCTGCCTCGAAAGCGCAAGGTCTTGAGTTCGATCTCTGATACCGGGAAGAAAAAAAAAAGAATCAAAATTAGAAGATGACTCATTCAATTATTTAATGAGTGCAGTCCTTTGGTGTATGAACTCTACTGAATGTCTTACACAAAAGAACCGGCAGCCATTTACTTGTTGCTTTCTACCAAGGAATTCAGTGCTTTGTTCTCAAGTCTGCTGAATGAAAGTAATAACGTGGGGCTGAAGGTGTAGCTTGGTGGTAGAGAATCTGCCTAAAATGTATGAGGTCCTAGGTTTGGTCCTCAATACCACAAAAAACCCCAAACAAACCAACCCCCAAAATAAAAAAAAAATCCAGTTCTGCATCCTGTTACACTAACTTTGTTTCTAGACCATGGGCCTCTTGAGCAGAGAAAAATCACTCAAGAGTGGTATCCACAGCAGTTACACAGTACTTGCTTGGTATCTAAGAAGCAGTTCATGAAGTGAGAAATGACTGATGACCCAGAAGAATACACATGAATTTAATTAAGTATGAACACCAAATAAACACTTAGTACTTCTTGCCAACTACTAGGTTAATTTTTTTAATTCAGTGATTTTTGTATGTAAGAGCTTTGATGCCAAATCTTAGGATTCCCCTTTTTGTCTGTTACACAACTCAAATGTTTCAAAATAACATACATACTTCTGTTTTTATATTTTTAGTTTCTTCCTTTCAATTTAACATGGGCAACTGATGAAGATTTCTTGTTTTCCCAATCCTCTAGTTCCCATTCAATTACATCATGAAAATGAAAGAAAATTGCATTTTCATACCGATATACTCAGGGCATGTATATAACTTTAAATGATCTTTTGCAAGACCTTAGCAGAAAGGGGCTTCACAGAAACATCTGTTACAGAAACATCTGTAACTGCAGATTCGTGGAAGCAGACTTTAGAACCAAAAGATCCGAAAGTACGTGACAGTCAAACTATAGCATATGTGTATTCTCTCCAGGACTTCAAATATTACCTAGCTGTATGAAGACAGGGAAATTTCCAAATACCTACCTTTAAATAATTTTTAAAAACTTTAGCATCAGGTTGCTGAAGTGCTTGACAAAACTCCTGGAAAGTAGGGAAAGGAGGAAAGAGAAGAATCAGTAAGTGTGTATTACATCCATCACAATTCATTAATATTTTCAGTATTCTTTTTTTAAATTGTAGCAAAAAACATAAACTTACCATCTGTACACTTTTAAATGTACAGCATAGTAGTATTAACTACATGCACAGCAGATCATTGAAGCCATTTATTTATTTATTTATTTATTTATTTATTTTTAGTATTTTGAGACAGGGTCTCCCTATGTAGTTCAGGTTGGTTCTGAACTCACTGTGTGGCCCAGGATGGCCTCAAACTTGGGGTAAGGCTCCTGCCTCAGCCTCCCAAGTGTTGGGATTTCAGGCGGGTGCCACCACACCCGACAGCCTTTTCATCTTCCGAAACTGAAACTCTATGCCTTTAGAACAATTCCTATTTCCTCCTCCTCAGTCCGACAATCACCATTCTACTTTGTTTTTTTTCTTTTTGATACCGGGGATCGAACTCGGGACCTTGCAGTTGTGAGGCAAGCTGCAGCACCACTGAGCTAAATCCCCAGCCCTCTACTTTCTGTTTTGATAAGTCTGACCACATTAGGTATCTCATAAAAGTGGAATCATGATGTATTTATCCTTTTGTGGTTATTTCACTTAACATAATGTTGTCAAGTTTCATCTATGCTGTACCATGTGACAGAATTTTCTTTTTTACATACAGATAAATAATACCAATATGTATATGCCCTATTTTCTTTATTCATCTATCAGTGAACATTAAGAATGCTTCAAATCCACAGTATTCCTATTATAGCTTATCAAAATCAACCCCCCAAAACCCTCACCATAAAAGGTTATATGCCATTTTCAAATACAACACTTATCAGACAGGCTGTTTTTACTTTTGAGAACATGCCTCTCCTGGACAAGGTGAACTTATGCCTGAGAAGAGTGAATGGTACAAAAACCACATTTTTATGCCTGTAATCCAGTAAGATAGGTCACTGAGCATAGCTGAAACAAAAGAAAAAAAGGCAGTTTCTCTAGTACAACTCTGCGAAAAATGTTGCCAGAACAAAAAGAGCGCCAGGGATTTAGCTCAGTGGTTCCGCCACCTGCCTCGCAAGTACAAGAACCTGAGTTCAATCCCTAGTACCAAAAAGAAAAAAAAAAAAAAAAAAAGCATGGTACTGGCATAGAAAAAGAACTGAGGACCAGTAGAACAGATTAGAAGATGTAGAAACAACACCAGACACACTCAGACCCCTCATGACAAAGGAGCCAAACACCCTCCCTGGAGGAAAGATAGCCTCTTTAATAAATGGTGCTGGAAAAATTGGGTTGCAACTTGCCAAAGATTAAAACTAGACCTATATCTCTCACCATG